CGAGCCCAGGCCCCGGGTAGTAGCGGCTGCGTGGCCGAACTGCCAGCAGCGCATCAGTGATGGCATCCACCACCGGGCTGAGGTCGGGCAGCGCCAGGCTCAGTGAATGCAGGAACTGCTCGTGCGAGTGCTCGATGTAGTCCTCGCCGTATGCATGCAGCAGCTCTCTGGGCAGGCTGGCCAGCAGCAGTCGCTTGCGCTTCTCCCAGTGGCTCACGTTTATCACTGACTCTGGGGAAGGGGTTGCAAAGTCAGCGGGGTCAAGTAGGGAAGCCTAAGCCCACCCACCAGGGTTAAGGGTCTATTTAGGCCACACCCCACCTCCAGCCAAAGCCACGCCCATTCCTCAGACCTGGCCCACCCCAATCAGACAGTGCCAGTCCCATATCCTGCCCCCAGCCCAAACCACCTGTTCTGAAGCAGCCAGGCTGGATGACGCTGACCTTGACGCCCCAGGGAATGAGTTCACAGCTGAATATGTCCATGAGCAGCCCCATGGCTGCCTTAGAGGTCCCATAGGCTGCCAAGCACGGGTATGGCATGTCTCCTGGAGATGGTTGGGGTGCGGCAGGTCAGCCTTGATAAAAGGCTCCCCAAACTGCCCAGAACACCTCACTGGCTCTAGTGAGGGAGGACACTCACCAGCTGGGCTGCCCACAGCCACGATGCGCCCCTTTGAGCGGCGCAGCAGTGGCAGGAGACCCTTGGTCAGATCCAGTGCACCAAAGAAATTCACTTCCATGCAGTTTCGGAATGCGGCCGCGGGAGACAGCTCCACGTCGGCCACTATGTCATTGTGGCCTGCGTTGTTGACCAGACCCCACAGGCCTAAGGGCACGTGTGAGAAATGGAAGGCTCAGATCGGCCCAGCAGTAAACCTCCAATCTTTGCTCCCTCTGCAGCCCCCACCCCCAAACCACGCCCTCTCCCAGCGCTGACCTGTGTTGCTGGTGTAGGACTTGGTGAACTCCAGCACTCGGCTAATGTCCGCTGCCTTGGTCAGGTCCATCTGCAGCAGCTTTAGGCGAGGGGAACAGCAGGCACGCAGCTCTAGGGCACCGGGGCCATTCAAGTCTAACACGGTGGCCAGCACCGTGAGGCCCATGGCATCCAGTTTCTTGACCGTCTCCTTGCCAAAACCAGAGTCACAGCCTAGCAGGGCAGGGCAGCCAGTGAACTCTCACTGTGGCCCAGTCTAGGCCAAGACAATCACCAGGGTCGGGATGAGATCTGAGGCCCCTGGATTCCCAAACCCTCCCTCCTTCCATAGCCCCATCTCTGTCTGGCAGGCCTCGTCCTTCTGGCTAAGCCCAGAGCACTAATGCTGTGGCAGCTGTCACCTCCCTGACTCGCCATAGCTAACTCTCAAAGATGGCATATGATCCCCACTTTACGAAAGAGGAAACTGAGACCCAGGAATTCTCAGTTGCTTCCCAAAGGTACCCAGCAAGCATGGAGTAAGGGCAGGACTCTCGCAGGTCAGCCTGAGACGCAGTGCCAGGTCTGATGTCTTTTTGCCTGTGTGACACCAGACCAAGCTCGCATGTGTGTTTAAGTGCACAACCACCTTCCTGACTGCCCTCACCTGGACTTCGCCTTCCTTTACCTGGACCCTGAAGCAGCCCCCTCTCTAGTCCTTCCCATTCTGCCCTCTTGAATCCATTCTCCACCTAGCAGTCAAAGGGATCTTTCCTGCAATGACACAATCTCTCTCTCTGCTGCTGCAAACCTCTCCCAGGCTCCCCGCTGTTCTCTGGACTTGAAGCCAAACTCTCTGGTACCAGTGAGGCCCTGCATGGCCTGAGCCTGAGGGAACAGCTCCAACATCCCTATTATTGTCCATAGACAGCCGGAGGTCCATGTCCACATCACCCCTGACCTCCCACCCTTGGAATTCCAATCAATAGCAACAGTGCGGTATTTTCTGAGTCCCAGACCAAGTGCCCCAGGACAGAGACCACAGTGGATTGAGAAGAGAACAGACCTGCATTTGAAACCTTTCCCACACACCCAAGTGCGGCCTGAGGTCAGTTAACCACTGTTGGAGGCTTAATTTCCTGTCGTTGGTGTGCAGAGAGAAGAACCAGCGGGCAGAGCCAGTGTGTGTGTGGGGGGGTGCGGTGGGGGGACCCTGGTACTGATAAGCCCCTGCCTCCTCGATTGTTCCCATTCTGATCCTCGCTCTGTGGGCAGGTGGCCAGTGAAGAGGAGGCAGAGATGCTTAAGAGGCTCTGCTTCCCTGCTCCCAAAGGCTCAGCAGCCCTCCCCATTTGAGCCCCGCCCCCTCTGCTGAGGCTGAGAACAAAGCTGGGCTGGGGGCTGCAAGCTAGGCTTTGTGTGGCTGGGGGCCACCAGCCCAGGCTGAGGGACCCTTCCCAAGCAATGTGGCGGGAAGGGAGTGAGCACCAGAGGTGCCCTGGCCTCCCTCCCTTCACCAGCAGGCAGGCCCTCCAAAGGGACACCAAGGCCTCCTAGAACCTCACCTCTGTAGTCCCCACACAGTCACCCAGCTGATACGCATGCTCTTGCTCACCTGCATACACTCAGACGCCTGGCCCTGACTCCAACCTGCCTGGGTGTCCATACATGGGTTCAACCTTTGCCACCCATCAGTGCACAGATGTGCCCATGCACACACACAAGGCACCCAGCGAGTGGCTGAGTCCTGGAGTAGCTCTGGCCACTGGTTCTCAGGGACATTCTTAGGGAGGGATGGGTGGTGGCTCTGGCAGGGCACAAAACACAGTGTTCTTGGCAGGTGACGCAGGGCCTGGTCACCTACTTGTCTTGCAGCCAGGTGTTAAGAAAGGAAACCCCAGAGTTTTTCAGTGTTGGCAAGCTTGAAAGCTTGTCCTCCTCACGTCCACCTCGAAGCTTTGCAACCAGAGATCGGGTGGTGGGGCAGCCCCAGAAGGCAGCCCTCCTCTTGCCTCTGTCTCCGGCTTACCTTATGCTATCAGCACAAAGGCCTAATGGCAGATACCCAGAAAGACGCCCTAGCCCTAGCTGCTAGTATCTGCAGGTGACCTAGGTGACAAATTTGAAGGCGGAGGGAATCTGCCCTGTCCCTGGGGAAAGAGCTCATAACCTAGTCCCTTCTTCCCAGCAGGAGGGTCTGTTGCCTGTTCTTCCTCAAACCCCTGGAACTGGGGTCTCCTTTGAGGCCTCACACAGCACCTGAACTTGGGTGACTCCCATTCAGCTTAAGCTCTGCTCTGTCTCCACCATCTCTGCTTCAGCCTGAGGCCCCCATGCCACCCTCACCCCACCCCCCACACTGCCCCAGCAGTCTGGCATCTTGCCTTACATTCAAGGTCCCTCCCAAGGAAACAACCTCACGTCCCACCACACCCCTGCAGTCAGACTGGTGACCGGCTGTCCCCTCCCCAAGCCATGCTTATTCCTGCCGTTAGCCTTTGTCCCATACCTTTCCTCCGTTTGAGACACCTTTCATATTGCATCCATGCGCACTCACCCTCTAAGGTTCAGCTTAAGTGGTTCCTTCAAGTTCTCCCAGCCCCATCTGATCATGCAGGGCCCCCTATTGGACCCGGCTTATTTTTTCTTTTTTTTGGGAGAGGTTTTTGCTATAGAGCGCATGCGCTCGCCAGACAGACAGAGAGAGAGAGACAGAAAGCAAGAAATCACCCCTCAGGTGGGATGGCCACGCCGCAATCCCTTCTCCTCCATTCTCCTCTCCCTTCTCCTCCATTCTCCTCTCAGGATCTTGGGCATGCACACACACGTGCCTGGCATGAGATTTTTAAGCCACCGGGTCCAGGACACGAACCACAGTCGACTACATGGGAGTCCAGCGACATAGCCATTATGCTAACTGCTGGTCCCTGGACCCAGGCTTCTGAGACACCAATTTGCTGCCGGTCCCCGGCGGAGGCCCTGAGACAGCAGCACAGCCCAGAGCACCTGTCCTAAGCCAAGGGGGTCAGGGTAGGCTGCCTCTGCCCTCCCCCCAAACGAAGTCAGTGCCCCCTGGCCTTTCTCCCCCTCCTCACTTCCGGCTAGGCCTCCGGGCCCCCTTCCCCTTCCTCCCCCTGCCTTCCGTCGTCGTCCGGTGACAGATTTATTCCCTGTTCCAGACAAAGGGAGCTCAGCTAGGCGGCCAGAGGCACCTGAGCTCAGCTTTCTAAGACCTCCTTTCTGGGCACTGAAGACCAGGAAGCACGAGGGGTGGGTGCTGGGTGCAGCCTCTGGATTGCCTCCTCCGCACTGTGCCAGTGGTTGGCTGGACCCAAGAGTAGCGGCCTGTCATGGTGACCTCGAGCTTTTCTGTACCCCCAAAATCCCAGTTGATGGGGAGGAAGAGCACCATCTAAGACCTTCCTCTGGCCCCAGGGATGAGATGAGATGTCCCACGTGGGGGGTGTCAAGCAGTTTAAGGGGTGACTCTTCTCCCTTTTCGAGCCCTCTAAAGTCCCTCAGAATACTGCCCCCCACTCCAAAACCCTTGTTCTCTTGGGGTGGGGCATAGCATAAAGCCCCAACTCCAGGAGGCTCCTCCTTGCTCAGTCACTCGTCTGCGCACCTGCCCACTTTCCCTCCAACGGCCCCGCAGGGGCAGGTAGTTAAACCGCACGTGGAGTGGTGTCCGGTGCTTCCTACTTGGCTCACCCCCTGAGCTCAGGGCGCAGGAACTCTCCCACTCCTGCGCCAGGATCCCGCTTCTGCCGTGTCCACGAGGAGCCCTCTAGGTGTTCAGTCCCGCCCTCGAGCCTGGAACCCCACGCTCTGCGCACTCACCGGTGATGAGCACCACGCGAGTGGCCACCGGCAGGCGCAGTGGGCGCGCCAGGCGGGACAACGCGATC